CAAGTTTAGCCTTTTTTTCTTTTTTTTTTACCTCTCTCATGTGAGCCCCCTGAACTTTATGGTAGTGCAATACGAAATCACTAGAGTGCTTTAATGGCTAAGTTATGCCAATACTTTGCTATATATCTTTACACAGATTCTAGTCCGCACAGTTCTGTCAGTTTACATAATTGTTGTGTCATCTAAAAGGCCCTTTCACTCGCCATCACTAAATGCTGGAACCACAAAAGGTTCTAATTTATAGCACAAAATGTGTTATCATTAATGGAAATCTTGAATCCAGAATTATTGACAATGGATTTTAAAATCTCATAGCAGTGAAAGCCTAAATACAAAAACCCAACAATGTCTCTGATCACAGACCAACTTTCTGTAGCAGTCTGTCTTTCCTGGGGGGGATTTGATGCTTGCTGATCACTAGATTTTATTTTTAATCTCCAACTATTACTACACACACACAAAGTTCCTCCACCAAGGCTCTGAAGTGGTAGTCCTCTCCCTCTGTGAATCTGCTCCTCTGCAGCCTGCAGGGGCTGATCTGTTAGCTGGCACTACTGGACAGTGATCTTTATCAATGGGACTGGATGGATGAGTGGAGCCCTGTGGGCTCTGTGCTGGGCTTTGAGTCATAGCGGTCATAGCAGGGGAAGCTGGTGAGGAGAAGGGGAGTAGAGGAACACTAAAAAGTGATGCCAAGCCTCACTCTGGGCTCACTCCTGTCCCTTTTCACACAGTAGGTAGGCAATTTATGTTCCTTCAGGCCTTTGTTTAAACCTCTTCACTTGTCTGAACAGCTTTATCTGCTTCATTACCTGCTGCCGATCATCCAGGTTTATATGACAAATAATGCAATCTGTCCTGTGTCTACATGCCTGGCAAGAGGACTTTAGAGAACAGCGTCATCTCATCATTCAGGCAGCTTGGACATACATAGACAGAGCAGTAGATTTATGCACGCCTTGTCCAAATGGTAAACACTGCAGCGCTAAGCAAACTCCCCGCCTGGGCCGACTTGTCTGACTGTAGACCTCAGCTCCTCGCTATGAGAGCACCCTCCTCCAGTATCCACGTCGTTCTCTGTTATGGTGTAAACTACTATTGTCCAATCGGAAGAAAATCATTACTTTAAATCAGTTTGGCTGTTTGTGAGAGTCAGGACAGGAAAGCTGAGGATGGTAAAGCACAGGCTGTCCTCATTGATCTGTGCAGCCCTCTAATCTCATTAACTGGCTCTTGATTTATTGAGATGGGGCCCAGAGTGCACCAAGGTTAGGGAAGCAAACACCCAGACCGCTCCCCTGCAATGAGGGTCACATGGAATTGAGGTCAATTGACTGTTCAGCAGACCCACACTCCCACAATCCCTTACACCAGTCATTGCCTTCTCATTAATAGTTGCTTTGGTGTTGGGCAGGGGGTGTGGGAGGCAGCAGGCTTGGTGGGAAGAAAGCGAGCATTATGGGATGAATTATTGGCTATAATGAGATGAGGTAGGGCTGCATCCAGTCATCAGAATCTTACAAGCTATACAACCATGCTAACAACGCAGAACCGACAATACAGGCATCAAACGGAGCTATTGATTAGACTGCGGCACTCAGGTAAATTGACCAATAAATAAAGATACTGCGCAAATAAACACCCACTGCAATTATATAGCTATTGAACCACTGTGATATATGACAGCTGCAAATTTTTGCATATAATAATATAAATGATAGGGAGGATGCAATTAAATCTGCTGAAGCTAACAATAGCCACAGTTCAGTGTTTAGTGACCACAGAGCCGGTCAGTGTAGCATCTGGTGGTACAGTGCCGTGCTAAGTGGCACCCCAAGTTATTAATGACAGTGGAATGATATTTATTAAGACTGAATGATGTGACTGAAATCAGTATCTTAATATTACAAGAACAGTTTTTCAATACTGATGCGCTCAAATCGGAGCATTCATTCAAACCTGGGAAAAAATTTAATTGTCCATAATAGCCTGTATAACTGTACCCAACTGTATGAAATCAACATTGAAGTAGTTTGCCTTGTGGTTCAGAGGAGGGTGCTGTTTAAATTTACTATGAACATCAAGTTCATTGTACATATTCTATCCTAAACTAAATAAAACTATTTTTAAAAATAAAGGAAGGAATTAGCAAGAAAGCCATGCTGACTGGATAATCATGACACTGACACAATCTCAGTATCAGTTGGGGAAGTATTTTGGGTTCTTCGTAAAGATGGCAAAGTTACCTTATTAAGGCAGCTTGCCAACCTGTCGACTTAGTCTACAGAAATCTGAGAAATCACAAATAGCTTGGTTGTACTTCAATATGACATTTGCAAAAAAATGCCAAAAAAATAAAAAATAAATAAAACAACTCATGGCATGTTTACCGGTGTGTGTTTTTAAGTACAGTTGTGACACTATATTTACAGTAGGTACAATGAGGCTTCAAGCCAAGTGCTAACATTAGCATGCTAACATTTTTATGCTAAGTATAAATGTTCCCATGTTTGCCAGCCTACTTTAATGTAGTTAGTTTAGTTATGCTCTATGTTAGGATGCTGATACATCCCAAGAACCAAAGTGCTAGCATGGCTAAAAGTGCCTAGTGCAATGCTGTGTGAATCATCATACAGTATGCATCTGCTAACTATTACAGACAGTCCCCATCACAAGAAGACACCAAAAGATAGCGCTGCAACTAACAATTATGTTCATTATTTATGGATGTATCAATTATTTTTAGTATTGGTTAATCATTTATTATAAAATAGCCTACTATATAACAAATGCCCATTACAGTATTCCAATGTGTTATTTCATCTGAGAGGCATATTGGTAAATGGTTTTATACTGGTATAGTGCTTTTCTATGCATTGCAGCACCCTCAAAGCACTTTCACACTATTTGGTCATTCACCCATTTGCACTCCCAAGCACTCACACATTGACGGACCGGTGTCATCACCGGGAGCAACTGGGGGTTCAGTGTCTTGCTCAAGGACACTTCAACATATGGACTGGACAAGCTGGGAATCGAACCGCTAATATTACGGTTAGAAGACGACCCGCTCTACCTCCTGAGCCACAACTGTCCAAAAAAGTGAAACTAAGAAGGGTGAAAAAAAAAAAGCATTGGTGACCAGTACATGTGATATCTTCACATGACAAATTAATGTTAAAAAAGTATTATCATTTTTCAGACTATCAATATTTAGTTATGTATCAATTAACTATGTCAACACATGTGACAAGACAGTACTGCATATTTGATAGTACTCCAATAATATTCGATAAAATGGTGGACTAATGAGATACAGATTAAAAAAATCAAAGCAGTAGTATCCTGACATTTAGTATGAATCAATGTCCAAACACACTAAATCCAACTATTTCTGTAATGTAACTCTATAACATCTTCCTTGGGAGATGCACACAAACATAGATAGTCATGATTAGATCACATCAGATACAGCAGCTCTCTCCAGAGCCAGAGCAGACTTGTTTTAAGATGCTAAGTACTCCCTAAGGAGAAAACTCATGTTCATGGGTCAAATCTGTGGTTAACCAAAAGTGACTCGCTGCACTGCCAGATACACCTATTTATGTCAAATTTATATTCATTTCATAGAAGACAAACAACAAGATTAAATGGAGTTGTAGCTATAAGTACTATTCTTCCATTTTATAAAAATCAATCTGAAATAATGGGAACATTTATGTCATTTTGAGAGATACTGTACAGTTTTGCCAGTTTTAGATTCTAGGCAAAATATGGTGGATACAGTATGTTGGGGCATCTACTCTGTTTGTCTGGAATTTACAGACTTGTTTATGGAAGTAGTCAGTGTGATGGCAGAAGTACAAGATTACTGCAAAACGCCAACAAAAACAAAATATAGGGTGGGCCACAGAAAAGTAGCCCAGTGATAGTATGACTAGATGAAAAAGCAAGTGGACTGTTTTGGAGGCAGGCTACTTTTCCATGGCCCGCCCTGTATATTGCTTTTTGACTATTAATATATATTCATACATACACACAGCAGTTAAAACAAGTATGGAACACATCACCATTTTTCAGTGTCTTGCTCTAGCACACTTCAAAATTTGGACTGGACAAGCCAGGAATCGAACCGCTAATCTTGCGGTTAGGAGATGACCCGTTCTACCACGGGAGTCACAGCTGTCTGAAAAAGTGAAACAGGGCAGAAAATAAAAATAAAAAAGCATTGTCCATTTGTGAATCGTGAAAGAGACAGAGAAAGAAAATAAAGCTGTTAGAACGGCCAAGCCCATCAATCACCTGACTTGAATCTAACAAAAAATCTATGGAAAGAACTAAAGATCAAAGTTCATAGAAGAGGCCCTTGGAACCTTCAAGATTTGAAGAATGGACCAAAATCACACCTGAGCAATGCGTGAGACTAGTTTCATACAGGAGGCGTCTTGAAGCTGTCATTACCAACAAAAGCTTTTGTATAAAGTATTAAATAAATTGCAGTGTTCAATACTTTTTCCCTGTGTCGTTCCATTTTATTACACATAACTTAATTTCTGAACTTATTTGTTTTGTTTTCTTTGCATGTATGGATTTCTTGGGTTGTTATCGACATCTGGTGAAAATTTCATGTCAACAGCACCTTTAGAAATATATTTACTGCGAAAAATGGTGACGTGTTCAATACTTATTTTACCCGCTCTATGTATTATATATATGAATCCTGATTGGTGCTCATAATTCAGCCCATTCCATATCAAATCAATGAGAAGTACACAGACACAAATACAGAAAAGAAGTCTGATGTGAATAAATCATTTCTCTGCATGTTGGACCCACTCACAGTATGAAGCTGAAAACTGGTCTTTAGAGCCAAGACACAGTGCATATCTCCACCAAACTGGACTGATTAAATATATGAAAATGTAACCACTTCCACCTCTGTGTTGGCACTGGTGGTGGTAATTACTGCTGTCTTTGTGTATTTGTCTACAGACCCTCACCTGGTATTCACTGGGCCAGAAGGTGCTGACAGCCAGCTCCACCTGGTGCCATTGGCGGCCTTGCGAGCCTGAGATATTCCATACAGCGCTGCCCTTGGGGCCCCCGTTCACCCGGATATAGACCTGCAGGTCCCCGGGGCTGTGGCCATCGCGGCTGTACAGGAAGTAGCTGAACTGGATGGAACGGGATGCAGTGGGTGTCATTCTCGCTGAGCGGGAGCAGGAGCAGCTGAGCCCGCTGGCCTCCAAAATGTTGTGAAGAATTGACCATCATGAAGGACCCTGAAAAAGAAGACAGAAAATAAGGAAACATTAGGGGACTCTGTCAATCTTTTCAAGTATAACTTAAAATGCTGCAAATTTTACAGTTAAATTGCTCTTGGTAGAGTCTTACAGAGGGCTGACTGAGATTGAACAGATAAAGACCTGCTTGAAAGTTTAACATTACCAATATGGAACGTCGATTTCTGAACAGTAAAGCCTCCACTTCTTCTAAATAGCAGCTGCTATACCTACATACAGCTCTCAAATAGCAGCAATTTCAGCATTTCTACCAGAAACAACCAGGCAGAAGTGAGTGACCTGAAATATGAAAAATAACAAGACCCAACTCTTTTGGCTTCACCTGTATCACCTCAGCCCAGCACAGATATGTCATGTTAGTTTTCAACCGCTGAAGAACGATTGTATTCTCCTTATTTTTAAACCTCAAAAAAGAGCCTGAGAGCCAAAGTTGACAGGCTCAAGGTTGTTACCCAGAATATCTGTGCAATCCTCTCTGGCTATTTATCTGTATTTGGTCTGTGTCTGCCTCTCCCTGCTTCCTGCTTTCACTGGGCTTCCATCAGTTTTGCGGTACTGCCTCAGATCTGGAGTCTTCAAAGCTGCAGCGCTGGGTGTCAGATTGAACTTTCATTTTGGACTGAGGTTCACAGAGTCACTGCTGGCTCTCTCAGGGGTTAGCTTTGCCTTTGTGGCCTTCACAGCAGTAGGGAGCTCAGTTTAAAGGGAAAAAATGAACAGACAACATAACTTAGCTGCCTTGTTTGTCTGCCACAATCAGACACCTATTAAATCAACACAAAACCAACAAAATGACACTTACTATTTGAGTTATTTGCTAGGGTTTAGTCCCCCTCACCGGGAGGATGAGGGAGAGCTAAGGTAGGACTCAAGATTGCTGACCCAGGTGCTAGTGAAAAAGGCGGTTTAATGAGAGAAAATACCAAGTAACAAAAAAACATGTATCATAGTCCATGTACATATAATAGCAAAATAGGGCAGAGATGGTGGAGGAGACCAGGACGAACAGGTGAGTAGAGCAGACTAACGGTAGGAACCAGGAGAGTAGGAGGATCAGAACGGACAGGTGAATAGTTAAACCAACCAGGAGCACTGGCGAACGAACAGGAAATCCACAGCACAGAAACTGTCAGCGTGGACGTCTAGAGATGTATAACACAAAACATATAACCTACATACATACATAATGAGACCCACAGCACAGGAACTGTCAGCGTGGAAGTCAAAACGACGTGCGACACATACCACAAATATAGGGCTGTTACGGGGTATGCAAGTTAATGCTCCAGCGATGGCGGAGCGTCTGCCAGAGGTATAAATAAGGAGGAAGGTAATCATCGGGATGCACCCCAGCTAATTACTGAAATGCAACACAGCTGAGGTGCAGATCCCGCAGGATCGAGAGAGCAGGGGAGAGAAAGGTGGAAGAGAGGCAGGTCACACCGAGCGGACCTGACATTATTAGGTGATTAGTGTCCTGACATCAAATGTGACGTAAAATAATCATCAATAATTATTAATCAAAAGCCAAGAATGGATTGAGAGACAACTAGTGCTTGGATCCGACAACACAATATGAATGGCTTAGATGACTACTATTCCACATTTATTGACTGCGGTTCTGCATAAACTACAGGAGGGGTCAGAGACACACTTCCATAATGAGTAATGTCACTAACCAGGGCTTTACAGGTGCGTTATGGACGTTATGAAAAAAAGGGATAGAAAGCAAGTAAAACTTCAGACATTCTAGTCACTGTAGTAAGATTTCATGAGGTGGTCAAATTCCACTATCACACAATTCAGTGACAAGGATAGAATAGTCAAGGCTAACGCTGCTAGTAGCTCTATGGGCTAATGTTTCTGGTCACACACTGCACTGATCTACAGTTGGCAGTAACGCACCAAGATCTACAGATATGTACCAGCAGAGACAGGATAGAAGAAGAAGGCAAGTGACTAAATATAAATGTGAACAATGCTGGATTTAAACCCTTTAAGTTTCAACACCATGCTCTCTGTAAAAGTTGCTTCACTCATTGTTCTCAACTGCTTGTTCTAGTAGAGATGCCAGTGTGCAGTCAAAATCTGTCACAAAAAGTCTGAAATTCAGTGGACAAATTTGGTGTAGCTGGAAGTAAAACAGGCAACGGAGATTTTACAAATACACGCTGTCTATGTTCCAGGTCACCTCGCCATCATCACAACTGATACACACAGAAAAGGGTACCTGAACTCATTTAAACAGAAACACCTTAGGCATGAACTAGCAATGAAATGCCATGAATTATCAGGATGCTGAGCTGCATTGAGATTCAGTGATTCACATTTTACTACAGCTGCAGACATTTGTGCAAAGCTTTGATGCAAACATAATCTTACAATCACAAATCAAGTCATGGAAATATTACTGACAAACATAAAATTCTGTAAGTTATCTCCCTAAATCTTGGACTGTTAGAAACAAAAACTGAAACCAGCTGCCCTAACTGGCTTTGACTGTGGAATGATCCTTCATCTACATGGAACAATATCAATGTACACCTCAAGATGTTTTTAAAATAGTTTCACTGTAATGCTCACGAATTGCTGTAAATGCTGAATGGTGATGAGGATAAACACAAGGAGACAGAAGCACCAGCAGAAAACTCTGAGGTTATTACCTTGGACTAGTCCCTGGGGCC